TTGGCTAATGTATGTGCATGTCTGTCTGCATCTCTGTGTATCACATGTATGACGTGCCCAAAGAGGCCAGAAGAAGGCACTGGATCCCCGGGACTGGAGTCATTGACAGTTTGTGAGCTGCCATGTGGGTGCTGGGAATCAGATCCAAGTGCTCTGGAAGAACAGCCAGTGCTCTTAACAGCTGAGCCATCTCCAGCCCCTACTTCTATGTCTTTACCAAGCTACCTGATGGATTAGTAAAGGGAGAAATCATTAACCAAGCAAAAGCTGAGGCCAGAGGAGGTTGGCAGAAGGTCCTTTTTTAAAAGTTATTTACTTATTCATATTTTATGTATGAGTACTGCTCTGCATGTATACCTGCGTGTCAGAAGAGAGCATCAGATCCTATTCTAGATGGTTGTGAGCCGCCGCCATGTGGTTGCTGGGAATTGAACTCAGGACTCTGGAAGAGCAGCCAATGTTCTTAACTGTTGAGCCATCTCTCCAGGGCCCCGCCCCCAACCCTGAGGTCCTTTTTAAAAACGGTACTAGGGATCAAATCCAAGACTTCAAATTTGCTAAGCACACATTTCACTTAGTTAAGCTGCATCTCCAGCCCCAGCTTGGGTTCTTGAGTCAGAACTAGGTTTGAATCTCAGCTGACTGACTCTACATGTGTTACCCTGAGAGAATTAATGGGCTGAATTTCATGAAACAGGCACTTTTGTAGTTTGACAAAAGCCAAATACAAGTAATTTTATATGGTTCTTTGTGGTTTGGATTCCTTGTTGGCAAAACAAGAACAGTAATGCCTCCGACCCACAGAAGTGCTGCCAAGCTCGAACAATGTGCTCCACAGAGCACATGACAGCAGTGAGAGCTCAGCAGGACCTGTCTCTCAATCTCCTAACTGGGATGGAAAATTATCTGGTGGCTTATTTACCTGTCTACTCTCCCAGAAGTTACTACCACCTGAAAGAAACAGCTTTTCCTGCATACAGGAAGGTTAGGATTACACTCACAGCCCCACTTACACTGTGAGACTTCATCAGGGACCCCTTCACACTGTATGGCTTCACCGTGAACTAGAGTACACACACACACACACACACACACACACACACACACACACACACACACACACACACACACACCCTTGACCACACCTCAGAAATCTACCTTTAAACAACACTGTGGGAACTTGGCATACTGGCTCATATCTGTAATCTCATCATTGGAGAGGCTAAGACAGGAGGATTGCTGTGAGTGTGAAACCAGCCTGAGCTACAGTGTGACACTGTCTCAACACCAAACAAACAAAATCTAAAACACCACTGTGTAGGAAAGGATACCAAAAACATTCTAATTGGATATGGTGACTCATGCCTGTAATCCCAGCACCTGGAAAATAGATGTAATTTGAAAACAGCCTGTGTTACACAGTAAGATCCTGTCCCTTAAAAAAAAAAAAAGACCTGGGAAAACTTCCTTTCTGACTGATTCTTTGGCTGGGCCATTTTGTAAACCTGACAGGGATCTCTAAGGACTTCTTTACGACCTTGCCAGACATCAGAAGAATGTGGCTCTACAAAGCCCAAAACCCACGGCTGTGTCCCATCTATGGTTTCAGAAATGACATCAGAGGTAGCAAATGTGCAGGGATTCTCACCTCATTTTCATAGGAGCTGCCAATCACATAGAAATAGAGATCGATGCTACTTTTATAGACCACTGTCAGCCCTTCCAACAGGGCAATTTCACCTTGGGGAAGAAAGCAGAAACCGAATGGTGAGAGAAGAAGAGGCAGAACAGGCTTCTCATGAATTCCTGGGGACAGCTGTGTGGGTCAAGGAAAGGCCAACTGTAGTGACCCCAAGCACTAAAGCCATCCATTGTTTGGGGGGTGGCAGAAGGGACACAGGAACTCCAGGAGTCTAAATGTACGCTCTCAAGCCCCCACTCCCACCCCCCACCCCTGCACCTACTCCCCTCCCTGTGTTTGAGGCAGGATACCAGCGGAGGTAAAATGCAGAGCGGTCACCTTTACCGGCTTCCATTTACCTGCCCTAATGGCTGCGGTACAATGAGCAGAGCTGCAGTTAAATTTGTCAAGTGAGGCTCATAAATCCAGGGACTAGACAGGTAGCTAACAGCCAAGCTTCCAGCACGGTATTCCCGTGTGAGGTACACTCACCTCCCCATTACATTTCTGAAGAGTTTATTATATGAGGGGAGGAGGGAAAAAGAAAGGGGAGGCCGAGTCATTTTATCCTTTTCTGCAGTTCTGCTGACACCCCCTTCCCATGGTTCCCCCCAACACAGGGAATAGTGAAGGAGAATGACCTACTATCTGTCCGATGGGTCTTGTTGAAAATGTTCTTCTCAAAGGCCTTTTGCTCCTTGACACTGGGGTAGGTGTCGTCATAGTACTACTCGGAGGGAAAGGAGACAGGGCTGGGTCACCACAGCTGTGAGCCCAGAATGATTAGTGACTGTCCTACTCTGGGGTCTTGTATACCTCTCCTTCAAGGCATGGGGGGGGGGGATGCTAAGATAGAAAAGAAAAGACTACCGAGGCAGGGAATGGGAGTGAGTGATGGAAGGAAGGAAGAAAAAAGGAAAAAGAAAGTAAGACAGAGAAAAGAAAGTGCTTGCTGCCAAGCCTTACAACCTGAGTTTGATCTCTAGAACCCACAAGGTAGAAGAGAGCCAACTTCTGAAAGTTGTTCTCTGGCCTTCTCTGACAAGCACGCACACACACACCACGAAATAAATGTTGGGAAAAAAAAAAAGGAAAGGGCTGTGCTGTAATCAACCCTACAGTCCTACATGCCATTTCTAAGACTCTGAAGGCAGAGACCTACCAGCTGTCCTAAGGACACTTCCACCACATGCTTCCTAGGAGCTGCCCGTGTCAGGGACAGTGCTGGAGAAATAAGCAACATTAGATGCAGAGATGCTTCCTCAGACTCCCCTCACTGCAGGAAGACCAGTCCCTTTTTTTTTTGGGGGGGGGGGTGTTTTTTCAGACAGGGTTTCTCTGTGTAGCTCTGGCTGTCCTAGAACTTGCTTTGTAGATCAGGGTGGCCTTGAACTCAGAGATCCGCCAGCCTCTGCCTCCTGAGTGCCCAAGTGTTAGGATTAAAGTTGTGGGGCACCACAGCATGGCTGAAAGACCACTCTTTTACTGAGCAGTGGAGAAAGGCCATATAAATCTCTTCCACAGCGAGGCAAGTCTCTGCCCTGTTCTCCTGTACATCTTGGCTCTTCCTGCCAGCTGAGAGAAGGGGGCAGTCGAGCGCTTCACTGAGCCCACTCCCAAGCACTCTTAGCAAGGGGGTGGAGATGAGGCTGCTAAATCGCCTGCTCTTTAGGGGCTAATCCGTCGCAGTCAGCTGAAGACCTATGACAGGTCTGGCATTTAGTAACTGGATAACTGTTTCCAAAGGTGTCCTGCATAGTTACATCCAATTACAGGGAGGAACAGCTGGTGAATTCTAACTAATCTCCACCTGCTGAGTGATTTATGCTCTGCTCACCCAGAGTTAATACACCAGGGACAGAAGATATTTCTACAGGAGGGGGAGAATGAAGGAGAGGGGTGTCCTTTCTCCTCTCAATCCATCCAAAGTTAGTAACACCTCACTGGGGCATGCAGCCTGGTGAAGACCACAAACCTAGGGCTACAAGTCAGAAACTGGAAGTTTTTCCCTGGAAAAACTCAGGCTGAGTGATAAGGTGAGAGACAGGGACAGAGGGGCAGAAGGGACAGTCAGGACAGATGGAACAGACACAGACAGGCAGCTTCTAAAACTGATAGCGTTTTGTTTTGGAACTAAGGTTCTAAAGTTCTTCCCTGCTCTGATGAGGATGAGAGAGGAAGTTGAAGGTCTAAGCACAGCAGAAAGAAAGCACTCTAAGGAAGAGAAGATTGCCAACTTGGATTTATCTGGAGTAGTCAAGTTAGGATGAAGAATTCTCAAAATCAGCATATTCCTGAAGAATTGGAGTTAGTAGGGCCAATCACAACATTTAAATCTCCAACGTCTCTGTCCTGCTCCTAAATTAATATGAAAGGAAATCTCACCTTAGCAAAGAGTCGGTCTCCATCATTGTCCAGAATCAGGATGGCCTTGACAGTGTACAGGGAGGGCTCCTGAAGAAACATGAACACACCTTCAGTTTTGAGGGCTCTCCCACTACTAACAAGCCTAATACCTTCCTTCCCTGGTCCCACTGGGCTGCAAAGAGTCACACAGGGTCTGTGTGTGTCCCCTACTGCAGCAAGGTTAGGTCTAATACCTCCCCCTGAGAATAACCAAGTGGAGGATGAACTGAACTGAGGGAGGAAGGCTTCAATAAAGGGATCCAAAGAAGACTCAGAGAAACAGTCTCAGACTCATAGGCCTTCATCAGGTAGGTCACGCTGCTATTCCAGGTCCTAAGGCCAAGTCATTTTCCAAATCACCCATCCTCCCTGGCCTCCTGGATACAGGTGGGCATAGAATGTGACCATGCTAATGAATGAGCACTACTCATTTGAAAGAAGGCTGTGTACTTAGAAGTCATTGTAATCCCAAAGCAGAGGCCTAAAGTAAGCCACTCTAAGCTGTCCAAACACAGAAGAGAAAGAAAGCATTGTATACACACATGTGAATGCATGAGCACATAAACACACACCAGTTCCCCAAGACAGACACCATCCAAAAACTCACATATGAAACCCTTCCTCTACTATATATGAACCATTATCGCTTAATCTGCTAGGATAAGAATCAACCTGAATCTTAAGTGTGGCAAACAGAAAAATATTTGAGAAGTCAAGGGTCTGGGAGTTTTCTTTCACTACCAATGGAACTAGGGGCTTAGGGGTGGGGCTCAGTGCTACAGTGCTGTTTAGTATGCAGGGAGTCCTGGGATTAATCTCTAGCCACTCCCCTACAAAACAGAACAAATCCCAGAATAAAGCAGAATCGCTGACACTGGCTCACAAAGGCAGCACAGCCTCCGCTCTAACAGTCATACTCAACACCTCTCTTCAATCGCAAACAGATGACCTGGGAAAAGCTGTTTTACTAAGTCTGCTGTTCTCTGTCCTCATAACTTTCAGAAGGGAAAAGTGAGAGAAGCTGGCATTGTGTACAGAAGGCCTCTGTTGCTCACATTATTTGACGATCTCACCAATAAATACTACTTTCTGCTACTTCTTGTGCCAAGGCAAGATTCTGCTTTGCTTTTCTGGTCTTAGGAAATTCACCCATCTTCAAAACAAATGCTTAACAAAGACACGAGGCATAAGAAAGAGTCATTGCCAGGGAGGTGACATAGCAGGGCGGACCCTAGGGTGACTGTGGCTTATAATAAGTTTTGGTTTTACTCAATCACTGGGCAAGTTTCAGTGAAACATTTCACTATTAGGATAATAATTTGTACTGTATCAGGCTGATAATAGAAAATAAAATAAAATAATAAAAATTAAAAAAGAAAGAAAGAGGAAAAAAAAAAAGAAAGAGTCACTGCAAAGGATGCAGAAACTGCAGCCCCACAGAGGTCAAGTGAGGCTCCAGAAGGGGAACTCCATGTAGAGAAGCAGCCCTAGCTCAAGAGAACTGGGGATTAACCCAGGCTTTCCCAGCTTCTATTTATTTTTATTATTACTGTTATTTGAGATAGGGTCTCTCAATATGTAGCCCAGGCTGGCCTCGAACCCACAAGATTCATCTGCCTCTACCCCCTAAGTACCATCACTTACATTATTATTTTATGTGTATGGGTGTTTTGTCTACATGTATGTTTGTGTACCATTTGTATGTCTGGTGCCCTTGGAGGCCAGAAGAGGGCCTAAAACTGGGATTACAAATGCCTTGTGGGTGCTAGGAATTGAACCCTGGTCCTTTAGAGGAGAAGCCAGTGACTTTAGAGACAGTATCTTACTACGGAACCCTTGGCTGTCCTGGAACTCACTCTGTACACAAGGTTGTCCTTGAATTTACAGAGATCCTCCTGCCTTTGCCTCCCCAGTGCTGGTTTTGAGGTGTGTACCACCATACCACCCAGTTTAAAAGCCAGTATGCTGTTTCTCTGTGTAGCCCTGGCTGTCCTGGAACTTTCTATGTAGACCAGGCTGGCCTCAAACTCAAGAGATTCGCCTGCCAATGCTTCTAAAGTTGTTGTGATTAAAGATATGTGCTATCACTACCCAGCAGAAGCCAGTACTCTTAACTGCTAACCTCTCCCTACAGCTCACTAATCCAGTCTTTTGAAAATGGGATAAGAGGGCTGGAGAGATGGCTCAGCAGTTAAGAGGACTGACTGTTCTTCCAGAGGACCAGGGTTCAATTCTCAGCATCCACATGGCAGCTAACAACTGTCTATAACTCCAAGATCTAACACTATCACACAGACATACATGCAGGCAAACACCAATGTGCATAAGAATAAAATAAATTAAAAGAAAAGAAAAGGGGATAAGAGCCTGGCAGTGGTGGCACACACCTTTAGTCCCAGAACTTGGAAGGAAGAGGCAGGCAGATCTCTGGGTTTGAGGCCAGCTCTGGTCTACAGTGTGAGTTCCAGGACAGCCAGTGCTGTTACACAGAGAAACCCATCTTGAAAAATAAAAAGAAAGAAAATGACCTAAGAAATGTAAGCTTTGTTTTCCCAACTTTTTTTTTTTTTTCCTTTTTGTTTTTTTGAGACAGAGTTTCTCTGTGTAACAGCCCTAGCTGTACTGGAACTTGCTCTGTAGCCCAGGCTGGCCTTGAACTCAGAGATCTACCTGCCTGTGCCTCCCAAGTGCTGGGATTAAAGGCATGTGCCATCACCACTTGGCCAGACTTGAACTCCTAAGGATGGTAAATTTTTTTTTTTTTTTTTTGGTTTTTCGAGACAGGGTTTCTCTGTGTAGCTTTGCGCCTTTCCTGGATCTCACTCTGTAGCCCAGGCTGGCCTCGAACTCACAGAGATCCACCTGGCTCTGCCTCCCGAGTGCTGGGATTAAAGGCGCACGCCACCAGGATGGTAATTTTTGATGAGGCCATGTCTCAAAAGAAACAAACCAAACATTTATCAACCTCTGAGTTTTGTCCATCAGTTCATCTCAAGTATCCAGAGCAATTCCTGGCACATCCCGAACTCTCAGTATTTGTTTTAAATTGAGAATAAAGTTTAAAAAGAAATTTCCTAGTGTGATGATGTGCTAGAACTGGATTTTACAGTTAAGTGGATTTTGTAGTGAGACTATTTTGGGGTGATGTTATCACCAACCCACCCTCTCTGACACACTGTTCCTTGGAATAATGGACAAGAGCACCTCCTCTGCAACCGGGGACTGTGCTGTCTGACAGGGAAGTCTTCGGCGTCTAGTCTAAAAAGCCACAAACAGTTGCTCTTCTAACTCCCAGCTCCACACAGAAAGACCAGCACACAGAGCAGGCTCTGTTCTATATAACTTGGGTTCTCAAGTACCAAAATCGAGCCCTCAATGGGAATGAATTTCTTTAATGGATAAAAAGTCCCAATAAAAGGAAATGGTTATACCCTCCATCCACACTCACAGCAACCACAGAGGGCTAGCTGCCCACAAGTTGAAACTGGACCTTAATCTGGCATTAGTGACTGTTCTTGCAGCCAGAGTCTGGCATTCCAGGAAGAAATGGGAGCACACTCCCCCACCCCAGCGCATGCCAAAATCCTTAATGGCCATCTGCCAAGTAGGAGAGCCAATGTTCTTGTGGCCAACACTGTCTAAGCACCTAAACAGGCATGATGACAACTGAGAAACATAGCCCAGGGTTCTGCTCCTGGCTCTTTTCACTGGCTTCCTAGAAGATATGATCAAAGAAACCTCAAAGCAGAAGCACAGAGTCTTCTTGGGTAGGACAAAAGAAAGGGTAAGGAAGGAGAGACCAGCTTTCAGGCACTAATGCTCTGGGAACAAAGGGAAGGCAGGACCAAAGTCTGACCATTTCAGATTTGCAGAGGAAAAGCCACAAGGAAAGCTGAGGGCTTAGGCAGGAGGAGGAATGCCCCTTGAAAGCATCACTCTGCTGTAGCAGAGCTGGCTCTTACTTCTCCTGCCACCTCCTAACTCTAGCTGGGCCCTCCTCACCCTATGGCCTTCATCTCTCAGGACTGGGGAAGCCTGAGAGTTCCCTTCATGTCATAAAACCAGCCAGTTTAAAGGCTCCAGAAGCCATTATTATTGATAATGTAATTTCCCTCTAAGTTTTGCAAAGGGCACATTTATAAATAACTCCCAGATACTAAGAAATGATTCCTGGACAATGGACTAGGCTAATGCTGACTCTTGAAAAGGCCCTACGATCTTAGGACCATATTCAAAGGACTGAAAAGATCTATTCTTCCCTCTCGCTTCCCAAATGGGCAGCTGCTAGAAAGCTTTCGAGACAAAGTTCTGTGATGCACTGACTTTCAGAGCCACAGCCTGAGTGTATGACAGAACTTCACCTCAAATGCTAATAGTGCCTGGAAATGATGGATGGGGAGATTGGCTGTGGGAGGAGGAATAGCAAGGACAGATTTTCATGTCTGCTTTTATTATCAAGAAAACTAGAAAGCTGTCCTCGTCCTCAGGACAGCTGAAATGCTAAATGAAACTAGACTGCTGCAAATAGCTCTCTGATCTCAATTAGGGACTCTTGAAGCCTGGTGAAAATATCATGTCTCGGAGCCCCACTACCCACAATGGGAGGATTAGAGGAAGAAGAGTCCAAGTGCTGCCCTCTGTGGGCCTTCTCGCTGACTTGCAGCTTCCTCAGGATTATAGCCCAGGCAAATGGTGCTAGAAAGGCAGTGGTTTGGGGCCCAAGCTATTTGGGCAGAGTGTCTGCCTAAGGTATGAGACCTCAAGAGATCTTGTGTTTAATTCACACACAAATCAAAACAAGCAAAAAACAAAACAAAACTCAAGAACAAAAACCCACCAAACTCTTTGTGTGTATTTTGTATTTTAAGTAAAACTAATAGAAATGGGTTCAGAAAAGAAAACATGAAAAGCTGACAGTAGTGGCTGGCACATGCCTGTAGCCCTGGAATACAGGTGGTAGAAACAGGAGGATCAGAAGTTCAAGGTCATCCCCCGCTACTTAGCAAATTCTAGGACAGGCTGGGACAAATGACCTTGTCTCAAAACAA